CGGGGCGTGCGGCCCAGCAGTAAATTGTATAGTGTGCTGATCAATAGTTCAGGATGGCTTTTAAAACTCATCCGGAAAATGGCGCCCGGATCGGTAGTGGATACCGTTCAGGTAGGCAGGGCTATGATCCGGCTTACCAAATCAGGATACAAAAAGGACATAATTAATCCGGCAGATATTATTGAACTGTCTCCTGCCCGCAGTTAAACAGTTGGTGAGCGCCACCTTGCCCAACCGGCCTTTACATCTTTAAATAAAAATGAAATTGATACTTAAAGTGATTGTTATATCCATTGCAGGCCTGCTCGTGTTCGGGGGAGTCTATCTTTACTTTAACCCCCAGTTTGGCGGAAGAATAACTAAAGAACTTAAAGAGCGATATGCCGGTTCCGAACAGTGGGACGGGGAAAAATTTGTAAACCAGAGTGAAACCACTATGGACGTGAACCTTAAAACCCTCCCGGGGCTCATTAAAAAGCAGTTCACCAATCGTGAGGAGCGGGCTCCAAAGGAAGAGCTGGACATGGAGGGTTTTGACCGAGGGGCATGGAATGCCGACACGAATGATTTTCAATTCATTTGGTTTGGGCATTCCGTGGGGCTTATGAAAATGAATGGGAAGAACCTGCTGATTGACCCCATGTTTGGCGATGATACTTCACCGGTAGGACCGTTCCGGACTAAACGCTATACGGACAGTACTTTACAGATCATAGATCAACTCCCGGCAATTGATGCCATATGTATTACCCATGACCATTATGATCATCTGGACTATAGCAGTTTTCAAAAGCTACACGGCAAAGTAAGACATTATTACGTGCCATTAGGGGTGAAACGGCATTTACTGCGGTGGGGTGTGCCGGATGAGAAAATTACTGAAATGGATTGGTGGGACACGGTTCGCCTGGATGACATTGAAATGACCTTTGTGCCCTCCCGTCATTTTTCCGGACGAGGCCTGTTTGACCGGGCCAAAAGCCTTTGGGGAGGCTGGGCATTTATCAGTGATAAGCATAGAGTGTATTGGAGCGGTGATGGCGGTTACGATACCCATTTTAAGGAGATCGGTGAAAAGTTGGGCCCTTTTGACTGGGCCTTTGTGGAATGCGGACAGTATAATAAACTGTGGCATCACATCCACATGTATCCTGAGGAATCGGTACAAGCCTCTATTGACGTAAAAGCCAAAGTGAGCATTCCCATCCATTGGGGTGCCTTTACCCTGGCGCTGCACAATTGGAAAGACCCGGTGCAACGTTTTTCAGAAGAAGCTGCGCAAAGGGGAGTGTCCATTACCATGCCGGAACTGGGTGAGGTAGTACGCTTTAAATCTACGGATAGTGATGATTTCTGGTGGGAACGGTATGAGTAGGCGTAGTGTTCAAGGTAAAGAACTGAAGGTTAAAATTGGACGTATAAAACCTTGAACTTCTTCACAGGATGTTGAATTTTCAGGGTCTTCAAATAGAAATGAGCAAGAGTTTTCTTCAACACATTTGAAACAGACTACCGCCAGGGTAGAATTATTCCTGCGATCCAATATGAAGGCCATAGAAAGGTTTCTCAACGATGACGAACCGGCCTGTTTTTGGAGATAAAACCAACCACTGAATTTTAATTGCCCTTGCATTTTTACACATCTCCAAAACCGTTTTAACTTGCAGCTTTATTAAATAGATGTGTAGCCTGCAAGTGCCGGGCATTTCAAATAAAGCAAAGTATGAATTTAATTGTAGCCGGAAACTGGAAGATGAACATGACCCTGCCGGAGGGTCGGGAGTTTTTAAACGGATTAATGGATCACCTGAAGGGGAAGAGCATCCGGTGCCAGCTCATTTTAGGAGTACCCTTTATCCACCTGGCGGAAGCTGAGAATGTAAGTGAAGCCGGTATTAAACTGGCTGCACAAAATTGCAGTGAGCATTCGGATGGAGCCTATACCGGTGAAATAAGTGCGGCTATGATACAAAGTACCGGAACAAATTACGTGATACTTGGGCATAGTGAACGCAGGCAATACTATGGAGATTCTGATGCAGTGATCCACCAGAAAATACGGGAAGCCTTAAGTAAGGGCTTGCGTCCTGTTTTTTGTGTGGGCGAGCAATTGAGCGAGCGCCAGAGCGGTAACCAGGAGCAGGTAGTACATGTGCAACTGGAAAACGGGCTGGAAGGCATTCCGGCTTCCGATATGGAAAAGATTATCATTGCCTATGAACCCGTTTGGGCCATTGGCACCGGAGAAACAGCCAGCCCTGAACAAGCCGAAGAAATGCACGCCAGTATTCGCACCCGCATAGCTTCCCTGTACGGTAAAGAGCTGGCCGCAAACACCGCCATTCTTTACGGTGGCTCTGTAAAGCCGGATAATGCCAAAGAAATTTTTGGCAAACCCAACGTCAACGGGGGTCTTATTGGCGGAGCTTCCCTTAAGCTCAACTCCTACACTGAACTCATCCGTATAGCTGAAGAACTCGCATGAAAGAATACCTTGTAGTAGAATTTACCATCAGCCCGGCCGAATCAGGGCGAGACCTGTTGCTGGCCAGCCTGGGGATATTGCCCTATGATTCTTTTGAAGAAACACCCAGCGGGCTAAAAGCCTATATACTGGAGCAGGACTTTAAGCCGGATGATTTGAAAGAACTCCACATCTTCAACAGCGGTGAGTTTGCCATCAGTTATGAAACAGACCGCCTGGAAAATAAAAACTGGAACGAAGAATGGGAGACCTTTTACGAACCTATTGACATTGACGGGCAGGTGTATATCTATGCACCATTTCATCAAAAACCAGAGGGTTACCCCTATTTGATCGAGATCATGCCCAAGATGTCATTCGGTACCGGGCATCATCAAACCACTCGGTTGATGTCGCGGTTAATGCTTAGCATGAACCTGGAGGGTAAATCCGTGCTGGACATGGGCACCGGTACCGGTATACTCGCCATTTTAGCGTCTATGCGGGGTGCTGAAAAAGTGCTGGCTATTGATAATTTTGAGTGGGCGGTGGAAAATACCAGCGAGAATGCGGAGCGGAATAACTGTTCCAATATTAGCGCAAAACACGGAGATGCCGAATTGCTGAAAGGTCTGCACTTTGAAACCGTATTGGCCAATATTAACCGCAACGTATTGGTAGAAGACATGAAAATCTACATTGACACGTTACCCATGGGGGGAGAACTGGCTCTCAGTGGTTTTTTTAAAGATGATTTTCATGTGTTGGATGATGAGGCAACCGCATACGGTATGGAACTTGTCAATAAAGTACAGGAAGACCGGTGGTTAGCCTGTTTGTATAAAAAGAAAAACGAAAGCATATTTTGAAAACGCTTAGGATTTTAACGGTGCTGTGCCTGAGTATTTGGGCTTCAGCTGCATTTGGGCAACGCCTTAAAAAGTTTAATGCTGACCGTGAATCCTACCCCTCCCAGGTCCGGGAATTCCTTAAAGATTCAGATGCCGATAAAGATGAGGAACTGGAACCCCTTTTGTTGGATTTTACCACGGTGTGGACCAGTGGCGGTATTTCCGACAAGGAGGCTGATCAGGTTTATAAGATCAGTAATAACTTCCTTAAAAAAAGGATTAATGAATATGAGCAGTGGAACTGGTTTCTGCGCACACTGATCCACATTGAAAGCAATGAAGAAGAAAAACTCTTGCTGCCCTGGCTGGAGGATCTCGAACAGCTCTCTGACAAAGAAAAATCCAGCACTACATCAGATTATCTGCGCACCAGCTACCAGATGTTTTACAACCTGGTAATGTTTGATGACGGCCGTATTACCTGGCGCCTGGCCAGCGGTGGCTATACGTTTAGTTTTGACGGTGAGCCGGTATTTGATTTTGATGGTGTGGATATTTGGGGAAAATACAAGGGCGACAGCACCCGTATTGAAGGTACCGTGGCGCGCTTTTACCCACGCAAATATTTAGTAGAAGGCAACGGAGGGTATGTATACTTTGTACGGGCCGGTTTAAGTGAAGACTCGGCTTATGCGGAGCTTTCTGATTACCGGATCAACGTTACCAAAACCGATTTTCAGGCCGACAGTGTAAAACTCACCACCCTTATTTTCCTGAAAGAACCTACTATGGGCTTTTTCGAGGAAAAGCTCACCAGTGTAGGGGGACGTGGAGGAGGTACCTTTCCCCGTTTTACCTCTTACAATCAGAACATTGTGATCAAAGACATTGTGCCGGGGGCTGATTTTGAAGGTGGTTTTGCCGTGATTGGTTCTAAATTTTATGGCGGAGGCTCTGACTCTGTACCTGCGCGTTTCAGCTTCAATTATAAAGATCAGAAGATCATTTCTACCGAAGCTGATCGTTTTTTGCTGCGCACCGACAAAATTGAAAGTGAACAAGTAGCCCTTACCGTTAAGCTGGATGAAGACAGCATTTACCACCCCAAGGTAACCATGCGCTACCTGGCTGAAACCGGTCAGCTGAATATTGTGCGCAAAGACGAAGGTCTTGGACAAACCCCTTTTTCCGACTCCTATCATAATATGGATATGGCTTTTGAGGTGCTCACCTGGAATAATGGTGACCCGCAAATGAAATTGGGTAACCTGAACCTGGGTACCGAGACTCCGGTGATTTTTGAGTCTAAGAATTATTACCGCGGAAACCGATTTGACCAGTTGCGGGGCCTGAATGACCGCAGCCCGCTCTACCAGCTTCGTGATATGGTGAACGCCTACAATAAGGAAACGTTTACCAATGAAGAGGTGTCCCGCTTTATGCGCATGGATAGTCGTAACGCCCACATCTTCATGATGCAGATGTCCGTATTTGGTTTTGTGCAGTACGACCTGGATTCAAAAACAGGAACGGTACAGGACAAGGTGTTTAACTACATCGCCAATTACGAGAAAAAACGGGATTATGACGTAATTCAGTTTGTATCCAACCTCTCCCAGGGCAATAATGCCACCATCAGCCTTGAAGATTACGATATGGAGATCAATGGTATCAATACCATTGCCCTTAGTGATTCACAGAAAGTACGCCTCTTTCCCTATGACAATAAGATTGTGGTGCATAAGGGCCTCAACTTTGATTTTGACGGTAAGGTGGTAGCCGGGCGTTTCAGTTATTGGGGAGAACTCTTTGAATTCAATTACGATGACTTCCGTATCAATATGGAGAATGTAGACTCTATGCGCTTTAAGGTAGAGAGTTTTGAAACCAACCGTTTAGGGCAACGCTCACTGGTAGACGTAAAAACCGTATTGCAGGAGCTTACCGGAGAGCTGCTGATTGATGAGCCGCAGAATAAAAGTGGTCAGCAGACCTATGACCAGTATCCTATTTTCCGCAGTGCCAAGGACTCCTACATCTACTACGACAGAAAAGATATTTTTAGTGGAGTGTATAACCGCGAAGAATTTTTTGTGCGGCTGGAACCCTTTGAGATTGACAGCCTGGACAATATTACCACCCAGGGTCTGAAGTTTGAGGGCACCTTTACCAGTGCCGGTATTTTCCCCGATTTACAGCAAACCATTAAAGTACAACCCGATTACTCCCTTGGTTTTACTACCGAAACGCCTCCCAATGGCCTGGCGGCCTACGGGGGTAAAGGCACCTTTACCAGTAAGCTCAGCCTGAGTAATAAAGGCTTGCGTGGTGATGGACGTATTGATTACCTGAACTCGGTGGCCAATTCCGAAGAGTTTTTCTTCTTTCCGGACAGTACCAACGGTATAGCCGAAAACTATAATATAAGCGCCCAAATGACGGGTCCGGAAACTCCGCACGCCAGCGGGCAAGGCGTATTCCTGCATTGGGAGCCCAAGAACGATGTGCTCTATACTACCAGCAAGGAAACACCCTTTGCCATGTATGACGATATTAGTATGCA